TGATTTAAAAAATGTCCTTTTTCTTTAATTCCTTTTTCTAAATGCTAATAAACGATTTCTAATAGTTGTAATGGAAATTAAATCCAATTTGATCGAAACGATATAAATATGTTATGCGTTTTTCGAGATCGGTTACTGCTGAGCGCTTCATTATATACGCAAAGATCGAGTTGGAATGAATTGATCATGCTGGGCTCGTTATTCTGATTCCGCTTAGGCCACATATCTATTCAGAAAGGAATTATTGTCTTCAGCTCAGTGAGCAGGTATGATCGATCGTGTAAGTACAAAACATTTAAAGAGACGCGGCGGAATAAATATAGATATGTTTATAAATAGACAAGAGAAGCTTTAAAAGCTTATGGAAACAACAATGGACGAAAATACACCAAGCACCAAGTGGATTTATCCAGCTAGCGAATAATTTAATTGACTACATACGTTAACATTAACGTAAAAAAAAAACGAAAGAAAAAAGGTCAGAAACGACATAAAAGAACTAGTTTCAACGAACTATATATCTATTTTTATATAATATATCTATCTCTATATATATATATTTCTGCATATATAAGCTTTTTCTCTCTTCGCATACTTTATAAAAATTATACACACATAAGCTAAACGCAAATGGAATGATTTCGTATTTTTCTCTCTCCTTAAGTACCTCTCTCTTTTGTTTCGTGAATATGTAGCCTCTTGCAAAAGCGAAAGCTGTTGGTAAAATTTCACTGTTACGATCTACGAGATTGATTCTCGACTAGTACGACTGGATCCAATTGAAGTTCAATACAGAATTTTATTCAACGTATAAAATGTTGATTTTAATCTAACGATCGATTTTTAACTGGCCATTCTTAATAACTTCTATAATAGCTATATTACATTAATAGCATCATTACAAAATCATTGTGCCGGTTCATCTGCAAAGATAAGATTTAGCACATCTCTCTAAAGCAATTACGTACATCAGTCGTTGTGCTAAGCAACTAATGATATAAAATGGTATGTGCTAAGTTCGAATCCAGCCTTAAGTTGTTGAGAATATTACCCCGACACCCAATACCTCGACATCTCGTCCAATTCTAATGAGAATAATACTGACGTGGCCGTCGCGACCATTGGTACTCGCGTCCTCGCAAAGGATCATTAGGCACCCGTCGTAATGATCGATGATTAAACGTAATGGAATATCCGAATGATGACTTGTCATCGTTCGGCCGTTCATTCGTTATTCCATTATGGACGATTCGCTCGTTGGATGTAAGCGCGGAAGTTATTAGCGGACCGCCTAATTACGCGTTTAAGATTCGGAACGCCCGGAGATAATAATTTGTTCACTGACGGTGCAATTTAACTTACAGTCGACAATTGCAGTTGAAAGCTTCTGGCATTCTCATCACTTTTTTTTTTTTAAAGAGGCATTACTACAGATACTATCGTTAATCGTTTGACTGCGTATCGTTATTTTTATATAATATTAGAGAAACGTGGATTGTTAATTTTTCACAGATAAATATAAAACAGAAAATGCGCGCGCAAATTCCTATCTCGATAATTATTAGTGTTTAATAAATAAATGTAGCGAATATTTAAGCGAATAAGGCTAAAAAAGGAACCGAAATATTAATTATATGACGGTATTCTGGACAAATAAATTATACATAAGAAACGATGCTAATAAGATATAAATTAAGGAAGGTAGAAAATGAACGCCGAGCGCGTTGTAGTAAAAATAACATTCCTTTAAACTGACTAAACTGATTATTGCGGTTAAATAATGAGTAATAGCTGGAAAATCATCAGTTGCAAATGAAATACGTGGAAACCACAACAAATTGCTGTCGCAGAAAAAGGAGAGAAATGCAAAAAGAGAAAATAATTTGACTAGAACGGAGATAGTTCGACTTATAACTAACGATACTATTGTAGACTAGAAAGTGCAAAATTCACTTGATTACAAATGCGAAAATTGTAATGCCGCTTACGCGTTTCGTGCATCTCTCGGCAAGATCGCGAACTGAATCTGAGTAGTCGTAAGAAATCATGGAAGATGCGGCTCCCCTTGCAACCTCTTAAAAAAACTACACTGGCTGGCATAGAATAATTCGCGTGCCGACTTGCGACAGTACACGTGTAAATATTATGCTGGTATGATAGTCTCTCGAAATATAGAGTGGTCACCCGTTATAAGGTCCACTTATGAAATACGTTATGAAAAGAATCCTATGTCTCTTTTTTTAATGAAAAATCTTTCAGTCCTTCTCTGAAAGACCTTCCACACAAAAAGAATGATTTTATTACTAAAGTATTTAAAAATTTAGCTGAATACAGATCTGAAAATACTTATTGTATTACCGAAATAATTATATAGAATGCTTCAGAGTTTGTTATTAATACATCAAAATGTTTTGTTTATGTTTGGATTTCATACATAACTATATTTTCATGATTCAACAAAATTTTCAGATCTATATTTAATTAAATTTTTTAATGTTTAGCAAAATCGTTCTTCCCGCACAGTTATTAAAGTTTCCAGTTGTTTCACATTAGGATCTTTTCAACGACCATGAACCTTGTCGGAAAAATAAAGCAATGTTGCGTTTGATGGAACATGTTGAGAAATTTGGCACTATCTTAAGTACTGCGGTGATTAGTATCAAAATTATTATTTAAAAAGCTCACTGTCTACTAACAATCTAAATGTGATGTATCTGTTTTTTTCCGACAAAAATCCCGTCTTACAAATCTGAAGGATGTTTTCTTAACATTAAAGTCTAAGTTATACGCTTACATATTACAGATATTATGCCCTCTACGTTCCTATCAAGTTTTTATGAAAATAAATTAGCAGATAGCAGGCACCATGTCTCTACCATCGTATATCGCTGTCACTTTGATCTCGATTGGTTGCTTTTTCGTACTACTTTTATAGCTATGACTAATTAGATACTATAGGAAATAACTATCTCAGAGTTTAAGTCGACGTAATTTTTATGAAAAGTAAAATGTCCATACAATTTTTGTCAGTTTAAATTTCAATATTACAATCAGAATCAGAGGGGTCGAATAACTACTATAATTAGTATAGACTTATATACTTGATTTTTACGTTTAACCGTGATTTTGAAATCTCGGTGGAAAATATACCTTTTATATACTCGTATTTTCCAAATTCCAAAATTCATATTCCTTATCTTCCAAAAGTATTGGAACTCGAATAAATTTAATGCCGAGATCAAAGTAACATTACTCTAAAATAAATAGCTTTTTAAACTACAATCAAACAGTTTGGTCAACAAAATATCGAGGAGTGCTCTATCTTGTTTTTTTCATCCCGAAATGAAAACGTTGTTCCTTGTGCTGGATAATTGACAAAGAAGATAATCGATCTACTTATGAAATTATATACGAATAAGGAAGTAATAATTTACAGATGAATATAAACTTCACTATCATCTTTAAACCTCCTTTGTTAGACCTCACATTATCAAAATAGAAAATCCTAGAACTGAAAGAGAGATTCCCTTAGCACCTTTTCGTGAATCCTGTAACACTCGCAGGCTACCTATCACAGACCCACCAATCTTGAAAAAGCCGCAGGCAGTTTATTGGTCGAATCTTAAAAAAATATTGCCGTCGAAGGCATCGTAGCTATCCTTCCCTTCACTCTTTCTTCTCTTCCTGAGGGACAATCGCAGACCCAGACGAAAAAGATGATGTCGCAATACCAGTTAATTGGGATTCTGAGGTTTTCATCGTATACAAGGCAATGAATACTTTCCGAGAATTCGGAAAGTCAAACGGGATATACGACTTATACAATCTTGAACGAGTATTGCGCATCAACTCTTGATTTCGACCATTATCCTTTCTTTTTCTTTTTATCAAAATATTATTTCATCGGTCTAGCCGACGATAGCCGACTCGCATGATTACAAGCGGCGATCGTATAACTGATTCATTCTGTAAGGTACATTCACAGACAACTAAACGTGATATGCGAGCGCCTTTCAATTTGATTGCGCTCTTTGATTTTATATTAATTCGTAGTAAGCTCGGAAAAAACTAACGAGCACGTAGAATACAAGAAAACTTCGTGGTTTGCAGGGGACATTATCACGTAAGCTTCCGCTGACATGCCCGCTTGCAATTATCGATGAAAAATGAAGGCTTTTTCAAACAAAAAAGATACAGACTTATATAATATTTAGTCGACTAAACGTTCCATCGAGCTGCCTATCAACACTTAAAAATTATCTTCGAAAATTCTCCGCTGACTGCAAAACCCCTCGCTTATGTGCTCGAGCAAGGAAATTTACGTGAGCGTAGGTCGAAAAAAGCGAACAATCTTGTTAAAGCTATTATCGTGATAATAATAGTTCTTCAAAACTAAGTACTTTGCCCCTAGCGAGGACTCGTGACAATTTCACATGTGATAAAAGATATGTTCTGATATTCCTTAAAATGTCTAGATACGGCAACGGCATTTTTTAATTTGTATCCTCTCTCCTTGAAAGACACTTTAAGAAATTACAGAATACTTCGATGACGACCCTGTAGTGTTCTGTTCATGTTACATAAACATTTATGACTCTTTTCAGAAAAGAAATGTGCCGCATCTATCGAATATTAATGCACATTTTTTCTTCGTTTAATTTATTGAACATCATTGGGAATTTTCGACATCGAAGTCAGATCCGACAAGACACTTTCTTGAGTCTTAATAAATATAAGTATAAATAATGTTCACGAAAATAATACATAACCCTAAAGATATCGAAGTGTGAAACGAACATTGAAAGTGTCGTGTGCATCGTTGTTTGGATGAGACGGTTATTCTCAGACTATCAAAAACAAAATTAAGATAGTAAAAAAAAAGACTTTGAGAATTACCGCCTCGAGAATTACTGTAATTTCCATTCTGGCACACTTTTTCTCCTTCTTTCATATATCCTTCTTTTTCGCATACTGCAGTTTCCCCTTTTCAATACTGTCCACTAATCGGGGATCGGGAATAGATAGAGCAGAACTAGAGCGGATAGGAATGTGGCAAAAAGCATCGCGGATAGAACGTGGTCTTGAATCGTACGGAGTGAATCTGCGGCCGGTTCTTCGGTGCCACTCTTTCTCTCATCGCGAACAAGGAGAAGAGCAGTGACGAGACGCGCCAAAGCCTCCAGCCCGTACGCGTCCATGTAACCCACGTCCATGATTGCGTCCGCGTCCAATAACACCTCCTGCAACACCAACAACGATACTACTCAGTCCCAGTTTCTATTTTACCGCACTGCGAGAACATTTCTCATGTGGCCTTAAAACGCATATCTCTGTCTTGGAAGGCATTTTGTACCAATGAGGAAAAAAAGCATTCCTCAGGGAATAGCCATTCTGTTACACTCCGACCTACCACCATATGATAAAAGGAAATCATTTGTCTCCGTACAAGAACTTTTGATAGAGTTGATTTATTTGTGATTCTGATTTTTTTTATTAAACTTTACTTTTTAACAATGCTTGTTAAAGTGAAATGTAATCAATTTATTCCTTAATCATCAAAAGTTCCATTTAGAAAACAATCAAGGAATATCACAAGGAAGAATGGATAGGAAAAAGCAACAGTAATGCAGTAGTATTTTATATGATTTAATGATTGATGAAAAACTATTTGGATTGTTTGTATAGTTTAGGATAGTTAGTCCATGGATGTTAATCGGTAAGATATTCGGATGATGGCAGGAAAGGTGAGAACCCGAAGTACAGACTGTTCCCCGAAGAAGCAACACAAAAGCGAACTGAAATCTATAGGCACATGCAACTAAAGCTTCTTCGCTAATTCATTTTTCTTCTTTCCTGCATTTATATTTTTATAATTACACCGTATGTTTTCATAAAATCGGTTTGCAATTCGCTTAAAATCAGATCGAATTCGGGGACTGACTAGTAGTCGTTGAAAGTGTCATCGAGAAGTGACGGCTAGATTGCCGAAGCGTTAGTCACGATGTACACAGATGTTCGGTTACGAATAATGTGCGATAAATTTTTCCGTCCGACTGTTCAGCAAGTAGATTCGATAGATCTGGTCTAAGGACAACGCTCGATGAGAATGTCTGGTAATTATGCTTTGTAAAGAATAAGTTTTCGCACTGAGTCTCGTAACCAGTTTTTTTATTCTACTCTTCAACGAAGCACAATTGATCATTATAGCATAATTACAATCATAATTCTCTTGCCACATCACCATTTGTTAAAGAAAAATTAGAAACATCGGATTAATTTATTCGGTATGGAAGTATCCACCGTAACAACATGATGTACACTAATGATGACAGCGTGTCTCATGCATATATGTAGTATACTCTGAGCGAAAGAGAAGCACAAACTTCTTTAAAACTAATTAATAAGATGTTTCTTACCTCATCAACGCCAATCTTCCGACACGCCTCGAGGAAGTTGTCAACGTTACGCCTGCATCGTGCCATTGTCAGTTTAGGCTACGAAAAAAGTTGAAATCAGTCTATTGATGCAGAAATATATCTTAAAATAGCGAAAAAATACTCACTACGGCGGGAGAAGGAACATGTATACTAGCAACCGATCGCGGTCTAACGTGATTCGCCAGGTGACAGAGAACAACACCATCCGTTAACGCTGGTGCAAGATCCTCCGGCAATGCCATCTTCAATCTCGTTTCTATGTGCTATTACAAATATATTTTTGATTACATTGCAAAATCGTTTTTTACAAGTAATTATAGACTCTTTTCGTTATGATGCTTACATTTCGTAGTTGTTCAATGAGATCAGCCTCTTCTTTGGCACGTTCGAACTCTCTCCTCATAGTAAAGGAATATTTTTCAGGCACATTACTATTCCATGTGACGGATCGCGGGGATTTTGGACTGCCGCCGTTTCTACTGGGACTGTTGTTGCCTAATAAACATACGCATACTTTAAGCATATTGTGTAATCAAAGTTCTCTCTTACACTGCATGAAATGTATAAGAGAAATTTTTATAAAATATAAAATTGCTCTTATACATCAACTGCAAATGTATTTATTATTTATTAACAAACTTTTAATTTCTTTTTTGATTTTGTTTAATTTAAATGATTACCTTCAACGTAACCAACAGCGGTTTTCACCAGTCTGGGCGCATGCGCTGGACTTGTATTCGTGGACAGAATACTACTAGAAGTTTTAATTGGCGAGCTAGGCTTTTTATAAGGTTGCTCGAGATACTTTCCGTTCTTATTGTTGTAATCGTTATTACTACCGTTGATGATTGGTGTGCTTTGATAGTTTATTCGCGACGGAGTAACTTTCTGCACTGGCCTCTTTAACGCGTTATCTTCGTTGAAAATTTGCTTGCCAGTTAGAGCAATGGTTTCTTTATTGTTGCCCATGTCAGTTTCGTTTTGCGTCTCGTTGCCTGGAGGAGTCACTTGCTCGCGAGGTCTATATACGCTTAGACCTTCGTTAGCCCTTTGTTGCTTCAGAGCTTCTTTATACTCCCTAAGAATAAAATAATTTATAGCATCAAAGCGGGCACTGTAGATTGTGTAAGAACATGATATGAAACTTTCACGAATGTTATTTGATGATTCTTGCGAGTATGAATGATTAAAGCAACACAACACCATATATAAAATACTAAAAGCATTATTACAATCTCACAATGTATTAATCCTCTAATTTGTAATACTCTAGAATAAAACTAAAAGGTAATTTTTATTGATTAGATATTTCTCTAATTCTTCAAAAAATGATTAATTATAATTTATATTTCTATATGTAAACAACATACATTTTACATATATAGTATGCATTCTCTTTTCTTAAACCTTCGTTGCCACTTTATACTATTTCATCATGTACTTACCATATATAATAGATATTGTGCAAAAATATTGCATAAAACATAACAATTGAAACGCCAGACATTAAGAAATATAACAATAGCAAATAAATGTATATCTTTATTAATAAAAAAAGTATATAGTATATGAATCAAAAGAAACTTCGAATATGAGAGTGGCATTAACGAATTAAGCATTTAACTACAATCGCGAATGTCCGTAATTTGGACACTGAAGAGGATTGATACGACAAGGTCAATCGTAGTTGCTTAACGCATATACATATTGTAATACGTCACAGCATTACCAGGCGCGCCCATAGTCATACGAATGAGTAAATGAGTAACGCAAACGTGATAACATGAAATAAATTCGGACGGACAAGGGCTTTAGTTGAAGCAAAGTTACCTGTACGTCTGTATGTGATTGAACGGCCTTTTATCGTCGCCGTTCACCATTGCAGCGGGGCCCGTTGCAGTTTGGAGCGGGTGTACTGATTGTTGTGCGGATGATATCTGCTGCGACTGACTCGTCAAATGCGTGGACTCCAGATGGCTGTAAAAAGGGATTGCCAGCCACGATAATGCACATGCATGCATGCAAAAATATACGTATATGTATATGTATGTAAACTACCGTGACAATTTGTATCACAATATCAATTACAAACACCGAGGGAACGCGTTCGTTTGTTTCGAAGGAAAGCACGCGGATCGGGTAATTGACCCATTGATCATCGTAGCGAGAGGCTTCACTCACCCAGGTGGCGTAATCGATGTGTGATGCAGGCTGGAGATCATTGGTCGTCTAATGTCTGCCCCATTCTCCGAAGTGCTCCTCTCTAATCTCCTCTTTTCCAGTTGATCGTGCAATACCATTGCCTACAAGAGATTTCGTATGAGAATGTGAATTATAATTTTAAATATCTTCGTAAGACATCTTAATAATTAAACAGAAATAAATTTTAAATTTAATTAATTTAACTTTGTCTTATTTTTTATTTTAGAATTAATAATCTCTAGAAATGTTTTCAACAGCTCTCTAATTAATGTTATGTTTTGAACAACATTATGTTTTGTCAATCACTTTAATTATAAATTTCAAAATGAATTCTTGTTAAAAAAAAGATCAGCCTTCAATGTGTAAAAGAGAAACAGTAAATATGAGAAAGCGATTTCGTCATAACATTAAATATAATATACACGGATTTACTATCGATGCAGCATACATCCGTAATTTTGAAACCTTGTCGTAAAACATGACGTTTTATTGGGTCAAGGTTTTATAATGAGATTTGAGCGACAGCCAACAACGACTTGTCGAGACTATCATTATTGTAGCTCGACTTGAGATCTATTCAACAGCTAAATATAGCGGCTAGTCATCCTTTAAATTCCGTACTACAGCTTAAACACTTATTTCAAATAGAAATCTAAATCAAGCGATTAGCTCTTGATAATAATAACAAATATTTTATTCTATTATCTTAATCAATTATCAGAATTTTATCAGTCTATGCTCCTATCTTTTATATAGAAATCTGACTTCTGTTGTCACAAAAGTTAATTACTTTGAAATATTACAGTTTCTAGTTTCAAATCATTCGTTTATAATCATTTATAATAAAATTAATAAATACGGTAATTTTCATTTGCTGAGTATAAAAGTAGAGAAGAAATTGAAATTATTTTACAAAAAAGATATTATTATTATGCAATTTAAAAATATATACTTCAATATTTTTTCATAATTTAAATACCTTTTTCCTTGAAGTAACCAGAACAGCGATAATGCTAATTTATTTTTGCGAGGTTTGCGTTTTAGCTTACGTATTTTCTTACGTATTAGCTTACCTTGCCCAACTCATCCTCCAGGGACGTGTGCTCCCCGGGTGAAATCGTGCTGGGCGTTGACGTGCCACTACAAGATCCGTTCACGCCTACCTCGTGCGGTAGCGTTATCGAAAGCGGTGAATATTCCTGCCGCCACAAGCTGCGAACTTCGCCGTCGTGTACCTGCAAATGGTGGCCAATAGGAGGCATGTAAAATCGTAGATTGTGTGCATTTTGCGCACTAATAGAAGTTTATTTGTGTATTTTATACAATGATCTGTATTAAAAATCAAACGCGAAATCGCTCGCATTTCTCAGACAAAACTCTCTTTTCTTTTGTACAATATAATTTATATACAAAAATTGCATGAAAATTTACAGAAAGATACACAGCCTTGACTATAGTATAAAGCATTTTTCATTTATTTCATTTTCTTAGAAAAAGCAGTAATAAAAGGAAGATTAATAAAATATTAAAATTGTTATAAAAATAAATATTCTTTGTTAATAAAACTATTTTTAATTTTATTTTTGTTAGATATAGAACGTTTATGTCAATTTAGGGGTACTTTATATTTATGGCCAAGGTTGTATAATAACTTTTTTAAAACAATTCTAAAAAGTCATATGAATAAAATTATGAACTAAAACCTCTAAAAAAGGAGTATCTAGAAAAGCAAAAAAGCATTTGTTTTAAAACATTTTTAAAACATGAATCAAAAGTGTGTTTTAAAATGCTACTATTTTATTACATATACTGTTATATTTTAATAGATATATCTACTACTATCTAATCCTTTATTTACACAAATAAGTATTTTAATTAAGTTTATAAGCAAATGCTGTAACATCCTTATTTATCTCTTTCAGCATTTTCTTCATTAATAAAAGTAGAGTTAAAAAAGCATTTATTCCGCTATAATTGTATGTATATACGATACAATATGTTTATATATATTCTTTCAAAATTTCCTTCGAAAAAGTAAAAGCGAAAGCGCTTGTGCTTCAGTTTATTCATATGACCGCACTGAATCAGAGATCCGCGGGCAATTCGGTGGCTGACTCGCCAAATAACTTCGCGAGGAGGTAGCTGTAGAGTGTGTACAGGAGATGTAGCGATAGTGGAAAGGCCATGAGAGCGATGGTGAAACTAACCGCGCTGTGGATTTCTTGAGACCAACGTTTGTCGACACCGTCGCTTGTGCTGTATCCACTGTCGACGTTGTGCCGCCGATGCGACCTCATATCCAACGTCGCATGACCTCTCGCATCCAGAGGTGCCCGCCGCGTTCGACCGCCTCTAGCCCTCTCGTGTTTCGCTGCCTGCCTCTCCAAGTACTTGAAAATGTGCGTTCGCCCGCGAATGCATAGCTAAAACCGACAGTGAAAGCATATGAGACTGATATTTTCGAAGAAAAGACATCTTGTATTTCCTTTGTGTTTTACTGCCTTCCAGCAATGTACATAATGATATTAAACATTTTCGAATGGCAAAGACTGATTTATGAATTCAAATAAAGTCTTGATTGAAGTATGAAGCGAAAGGGCATGGTTTTGCAATCAGTTCCGTATAGGCAGTCTGTAACTATGAAACGGCAGTTCACAATTGAAGTAACATTGCGTAGAGTTTTATTAAAAAGAGCGTAGGAGTATGTATTGCGGAAAGGAGATTTGAGCGTTTGAGCGAAAACGCGGACGAATCATTAATGTTAATGCTCACCGAGGCAGGCGGCGAGGTGAGCGGATTGTCGGACAGTTTGAAATCCACCAAACTCTTCATCTTCCTCATCTCGTTTGGAAGCACAGATATTCGATTACCGCTAATATCCAGCTTCACGAGCCTCAGGTACGTCAGTTCTATATAAAAATGTGATTTAATTTCTCACACTTGATTATCAACCTTGAGATATTAATCTCTTTAACAGATCAATCAACTAATATCTTTAATATCTTTTTCAAATTTCTTTTTTTATTTAAAATTAACTTTTTTTATTTTGCTTAATAAATAAATTAATTTATATTTAGAATTAATTTATAAAAATCTCTCTTTTATGAGCGTCAGCTTTGTTGGAATTTAATGTACTGAGAGTTACTTATTTTCAGTAGATTTTTAGCAAGATTTATTTCGTAAATACTTATCGAACAGATTGATTCAATTACTCGCAATTAAAACAACGAGTTTATCCGAGCGTAATAAACATCTGTTGCGATTGCATTAAAAAGGTGGTCCTACCTATAGGCAGGTGCACTAGCAAGTTGCTCCTCAGGTCTAGAGACCGGAGTTGCGCAAGGTCGCCCATTCGAGGTGGAAGACTCGTGATTTCGTTGCAACCTGCGTCCAGTTCTGCCAATACTGTCATCCTGCCCAGCTCGTCTGGCAAAGATGCTAATCTGTTGTGTGCGACTAGCAACGTCTGAAGGGGTAGTCTGCATATCTCTCGAGGTAGCGACGTCAATTGGTTTCGACTGTGAATTATAATATCTTCTTTAAATAAATTCTTGCTAGAACTATATTCGCAAGTTGAAACTTTTCTCAAACGGATTTTAATCGATCAATTATTCGATTTTAATAAATTATTTTAATAATTATAAACAATTTGTAGAATATTTCAGAAATGAAATTAATTTTTTATAATAGATACGGCTTATCAAAAATATTCGAAATGTGCCTTTTTCATTGAAACTTTTTTAAATCAAATTATTTCATGAGTAATTATAGTATTATACTCTCAATAATTAATTATACAATTATATGTAGTTAATCAATTTTTTTTTCAATAACTTTTAAAGTATTTAAAATTTTTAATTATACAATGCTCTACGCAGACTAACAGGAGCTTAACATTATCCAGCGCCATATCATATAGGATACCTACGATATGATGTTATCGCGCAGTTCAATGTGTGTATGCGTGTGTATATATATATGCGTGTTTATGTACCAACCTAAGATCGAGGTAGTTCAAGGATTGGAGCATTACGACGGTTTCCGGGATTATTCTTATGGCATTATGATAAAGATGCAGCTTTTCGAGGAATGAAAATTCCGTGACTTCCTCCGGTAACTCACTGAAACGATTCTTCGAAAGGTCTGTAACAGAAAGCAAATACTCATCTTTATGATGTGTTAGACGATAAAGACATGATCGTCGCAACTTCCGCTATTAAAACGAATATAACATCAACAAGCGTCGCGTGATTTCAACAGGAAATTAGCGTTATATATACATAAAGGGAAAAAAGTAGATCTTGCGCTACTGAAAACTGATTTGCAATTAAGAGCTGTCGTTCGACATCAAGCTCCGCATTTTCATTAAAACAGTCCACCGCATCGTAGAAGCATCGCTCAAGCAATAAACGGCGTCCCTATTATACGATCGGCCGATAAAACTCGTTTAGGAGTGCAGGTATTATCGAACTGTCTTAATAAGGCACCGATATGTCTCCCATGGCAACAGCTGTATACTTCGACTAGGGTGATCTTAGGGTGGTGTTGCTGGGGGTTGTTATGAATGGGGCGCGACGGCCACGTGCGCGCACAGGCTCGAAACGCAGGAAAAAGACAAGGGGTAACTCAGCTCCTGGCTTCGAACCTTCTTTCTGATCAATAACAGCCGTCCTCGAGACCTGCGAAATTGTTTGCGAAGAACGTAGCCGATTCGCATGTCGAATAGTTCCAAAATAGCGTTCTTTTAATACTGCAGACAGCACGTATGAAAATGTCGCAAGCAAGCATGTTTCAATTACGCAACGTAGTTATACAAGACATTACGAATTGATATTTTACCGAGATTATTTGATAAATGTATATACTATTACTCCTTCTATGTGTACATAAAAATGATTATTTATTAAAATTTAACATAAAGTATTAATTTTAATCTTTCTTTATAGTTTTTAAATATTTTTCCTAGGCATATATATTTTTAACATCAATGTTGAAGTGAAGGGCGCAGTCACGATACTCATGTATGTACTTGACATTTAAGTGTCGGTCATAATTAAAGGTCTTCTAATAATCTTAAAATACAACGAAAGCCTTGATCTTAATATACCATGTCAACAGAATAATTAAGAAGATGCAATAGACAATGTTTTATAAAAACATTTAGTATTATATAATATATAATATGTGTTCTACGTATTTTTTCTATGATAGTAGTATACCAAGAAGATTAATTGACGGAAATTTTCCAAATAAATCCCGAGCCTGCAGGGAGAAAATTAGATTCCAACGAATTCGTCGAACGATCAACGGAAATTAGCAATCATCGCGTGCAAAAGATACGCGATTTCCCCTAACAAAATCGAGAATTAAGTTTAGCAATTTCCATCAGTCGTCATTTTTGTTCAAAGAAATAAATATAGATCATTTCTTCACATTAATTTTTATTATATTCTTTAGTATATAATTAAATAAGTCAACAGTTTCATTTTATTTTTAATTATGACTCTTACTTCGCCCTTTTTATTTTTGTTGATTATTATGTCTATTTATTTTCAAGTATTCTGTCTTTCTTCTTTGTCTTGTTGGTATACGTAATTATCTACTAGAATCGCAGATTGCAATAACTCAATCATGCGAATCGTGCTCGTAATTCACTATAACATAAGACATAATTCGTCCTTCATTCGTCGAAAAATGTAGCAATTTACGCGGTTACAACCCGAGGGTGTGTCTTGACGAGCGTAACTTCGTTAATCGATCTCGATTCTTACATGCTGCGCGAACTAAGCGTATTGAAACCGGAGCAATTTAGATGGGGAAGAAACCCGAGAGGCGTGAATGGGGATGCATGAATAGGGATGCTTATAACACTTTCATTTCACGGTAAAATATTTGACTTTATTTTTTTATTAACTCTCAATGCTGCAAATCGATATTTTAATAAAAAGTATCGGCACAACCAAAATGTTGAACAATGTTAAATAAATAAAATAATTATATATAAGAATAGATAATGTGTTACTTTCACTTATTCTCGAGAATGTATTATCGTATAGAAACTTTTGTTTCGATTATTAATCTGAAGAAACTACATTGAAAAAGTTTCAACACTAAAAATATCTTAAAAAACTTTCTTTTTTATTGAATACTTGCAATATCATAATTTGTTAAAGAACCAAAATTTTTCATTTGATAAAAGTCTGGTCATTTCTATGTCTGGTAAAATACGGTCGATGTCCGCGATGCAAGGGCGTCGGCCGACGGACGAAGGAAGACGGGGCTGGAACCCCTTGCCAACCCCATGAGTAACTCCCACGCAATATTGGATTCTCTCTCAAACACCGGGCTTTTGTGCAATGTGGCAAAATTCTGCTGCGAACAGTCGCGTCGTCGACATAATATATATATGGTGATCCTCCGTTGTAGAATCCGTTCCAACAACGTATGACATGTCATCATAATTCATATGCCTAGATTATGTATGTTCCTTTTCCTCTGATTCTCCCTTTCGCGAGACAAAATTGTATCGGTGAAAGCATGACAGACAGCACCAAAGAAACACGACTCTCGTCTCTGAATATATTCGTTAATGCGCTAAACGTCGGCGGAAAAATGCGCTTCAAGTTTTACTTACATTTTTTTAAATGTATTAAAAGGAAAGTCGCAGATTTAAAGAGAAAAATTATAATATATTTATCTTCTTTTCATCTAAAGAAAGATGGTCTTTTGTCTTGCTGTTTTATATTTCAAGATATTTAGAGAGAGAAAGAGAGAGTGTGTGTAACTTTCTTTTAACGTATACATATAATGGCATTTAATAATAAGATGGGATAGCGATAAATATAATATGCAATATTAATAGCAATTAAAATATAAAATAGATACGTATAATCTGAATATTATAATCTAAAGCTGCTATAATTAAAATCGTTAATACAGTTTTACCTTATATACTGAATTATTGAGTTATATTAAAAAGTAATATTACTTCATTTTATTCTCTGTAATTTATGAAAGAAATTTTATCTTTCTATGCCACATTCATATCAAACAGTATACGGAAGTTAGTCATGTCGATTTCAAATTTAGGAATGGCCGATAAAAATCAAGCGGAACCGCGCGTGTAAGACTCTCTATAAATATATCTACATTTCCGTTCCTAACGGTCAGACGAACACGATAAATATCGCAGCCGTGCCCTTCGCGGTAGTTGTACAGGACGTTTCAGAAAAGGTCGATGCACTGGGACATTTCAAGGACCAAGGTCGAGGTCCTACCATTGAGGATCGATACGCAATTGCGTGACGCGCACACAGTGACATTATTTGCTAATAAAGGGCGTGGCAGTTTTATAAATTCGTGCGTACATATTTTATTTATCCTATTTAAGATAAATGCATTAGTAAACGATCAATTGAGATATTAGTAAACTAATTATCCTGTTTGTTAAATAAAATATTGTTTTTATCATATTTGAGAAATCAGTCAAAAGCTAGTTTTTTTTGCAAATACTACAAATTTTTATCTATAATTGTAAAAACTGCAATACTCTGAAATGTTTATCTCTATCGAAATGACAATTTGCAAGTCGCATATACTGAATTATTAATCATTATAGGTATATATTAAACTTTTAAAAAATCTCCAAATATTTGGCTGACAAATATTCGTACAATAAAAATTTGAACACATAGAATCACTTGATTCATTACTCAATGAGAATAAAGAATGAATAGAGAAAATGAATTATTAAATGGTATGAAAAAAATTCATACTAGATGTATAAATCAACGATAGTCACAACTTGTAAAGATGATGAAAGAGATTTGCTTATCTCTAGCCTCCATGTGAAAAAGGACTTTGACGGAAAGCAAAGTTGCGGAAAATATCTGCTTCACAATTTCAACATTAATTTCCACGTGCTGAAGCACACGAGGCCAACGGCCCGGATAAACGTCCGGCTAGGCGAGACAGTCGCTCTTTGACGCTTGTCTGGTTGCGGCTCTGCCCACCATTTCTTTCTCTCGTTCAGGTTTCCATCTAAGTATGCGACCAGTGTGAAACGTGCACTCTCGTAACAGGTAACCTTGAGGGCCGAGCCTGGTCATTTCCTCGAATCTTAACTAGTCGACTCTGCCATAGTGCAACGAATAAACAGTCACTTGTCGAGTGTGAAAAAACTTTGTGTCAAAATTAATGAGAAACACACTACAAATCCAAAAGTTAAAAAACAATTGCAATATATGTGTGTGTGATTTATTTTTTCGTATAAAAACAACATTATATACATTATATATTTAAATGTGTAAATATATTTTTGCATGCGTGTATTGTGTTATTTTTACACGGAAAACTAATCAGACACATATATTGAAGTCATTTTTTACACACTTGGATTTATGTAAGGAATATAAGAGCAGAATCAATTTAAGTGACATTTTTATTTATTGCTTATTTATTGCTAACAAATTGCTAAAGAAAAAAATGTGTTGCTCTATTAGTTTTTTTATGTATATTGTTCCGCTAACTTAATCTTCCTTTAGCGGAACATTATTTAAAGAAAAGCTAATAGAGCAACAAATTTTTTTCTTTGGCAACTTGTTAACAACAAATAAGCAACAAATAAGAATGTTAATTAAAATCAATTCTGCTCACTTTGTTTGCACTAACTTATAAGACGTAGGAATAGATACATGTATATTCATTTCTATGAACTCACAGGATAAAAATTAAAATGTTACCACTTTAAAATTTATGTTATAATAAGAGAAAATACGAAATAGAAAAAGTGATATGTAGTATTAAATTTAATTAGAAATGATCTTATTAATTCAATAAAAATATTAACAAAATAAATACTGGTTTTATTAAAATAAAAGCATATCACATTGTTGACAAAATTATTTTCTATTAGGCTCATGCTGTTAATACATTTATATATATATATATATATATATATATATGTGTATATCGTTATTTTTTAATCAAAACAAGCTTTTTATAATTAAATTATAGTTATTACTATTATACTAATAAAACCTCAAGTTTATTCGTAATATATGAGACTGATATGTGTATGTACAAAATGTAAAATTCAATTATAAATACGAACCCAGATAGTGATTAGAATACGTGATATAGAC